ATTTAAACAAAGTATAAAAGCTTTTTTGATCAATGCAATGCAAACGGGTGTATTGTAAAATATAAACTCTAAATTGCAGCCTAGATGCAGAAAATCGCATACTGAGAAGCTCTATAATTTTTACAAGCGGCGATTAAACCAAGGAAGCCTAGAAAGGTGGCATAACTAGGAAGCGATGGGGAGATGACAATGTACACGAGATTTTCGTTTAGGGCCTGAAAAGAGGCCACTCGAAGGACCAACGCGTAGGCTGAAGAATAATGAAAAGATGGATTCGTAGCGAAATATGTGAAACCGTTTTCTTGACTACAATGTATCAAAAGTATTTCTCATTCCCTACTCTGTAGACTCATCACCTTGAATTGATAATCGTAATAATATTTGGTATATAACAGAAATTATGAAACTGTTCATTGCATATTATTCCCCCGCCTCTAATTATATCCTCTCTCTGAGATCCAAATATTTTATTCAGCTTGGATTCATAAAGTCACCTGTATAAACCCAATACAATTGTTTTTTTTACCCAGAATACGTTAAATTAGCTGTTCCTTGCACTTTCTTCCCCACAGAACACAAACTGCCACATTATCCTCATTCAGATAACGGAGCCACCCGTTTTGCATCTTTCTGGAGAGGAACTGTTTAAAATCAAGAGCTCATACATGCACGCCGTGTTTGAGAATGGCTGTACACATTGCAGACGGTTTGGAGGTGGGGGGCTACTCCAGTGCATGTATTGACGCAAGGCTGGACTCGTGTCTCCCGAGATCTCCTGCCTTGCAAGGGTCGCCTCGTGGACTTGATCCCGGGGCTTTGCCTCCACGAGTCATTAACTCCCCGGCCGCTAATCCCCTCTGGTCCAGCAGCCAACTTTGCTCTCAGCCTTTTAGTGCGATATGATACTGCAGATCACTACCTCCCTCTGTGTACATTCTCATCTTCTGGAAACTACGAATTGATGAGCGCTATTATGTCGGTGAGACAGCGAGGAGATGACGGCTGTACTTCTGAATTCAACAAATGCGTAGTTTCTTTTTATCACGAGCACGACCCTTGAGTACTCACAACTTCATACCTTGGGAGTTTTTCTCGGGGATAAAGGCGGCACCAACGTTTAGCAGTTGACATAAAAGTAACAATTCAGTAACACGAGACTTCATTAATCAAAGCAAATATAAAACGCATACTGATCTTTCTAAGCGAAAAGTAATAATGTACTATACCATAGTATACTGACTGACATTGTGCTCGACCGCGTAATGACGCAGTGAATTCTTGTAGACGGTTAGCAAAGTTTCGGAGAAACCTGTTGCCTCCATCATCAGGGAAGTCACTTTTGACCCATAAGATTACATTCCAAATTTTCATTTACATGAAGACCTTAAACCTCACAGACCTATCGATAATACCTTTTCGGTAATAAAATTGTTCGAAACAAGGCTAGCGTAGCTTTGTTCGGGACCCGACAAATTAGCTCGTCATTAGCATTATTAATAACCACAAGTATAATTAATAGTTAAAAGAAACTATAGATGTCTACCTTCCAAGTAGACTGTAAAAATACGTGACCTAAACGAAGCACTGGCCATAAAAAAATTGGAAGCACCGCTCCAAAAAGACGCAAGACTGAGTTATAAGTTATGGGCACATTATTTTAAGAGTCTGACTCTCTCTGCGACATGACAATATTCTGAGGTCGAGGGTGAGTGGCAGACGACTGCTTATGCAACCAGCACCGCTCCAGGAAACAGAATTTACGCATGTAAACACACAGTTAGCATTTACTGGGTTGTGTAAGAGGAAATAGTAGCTATTTTAGATATGTAAGTTGGACCATTGTATGTTACGAAATGGTATGGATATTGCCCACGTAAAATGTCCGTTCTGGGGTTTTGGGAAGAGGGAAGTTTCCCCTTTTTCCTTTACCGTGCTGTATGCTCCTTTCCATTCCTGGACTCCCCTCACACTCAAACAGTGGAAGCTGCGAATCTTTGGGGATAATAAATCCAATTCCATTTTACTTGCGGCGTGTCTCGTGTCAGGAATCAGTAGAACCTTCTACGCAAAATTGGGTCCACAATGTCACTACAGGGAGCGAAATATTTTTCACTTTGTAAAGCTTCCTGCATGGGAAATGGAAGTCCTCAAGAGAAAGTTCCCTGAAGACATCCGCAGAAACAAAATACCAAAACATTCATCGCATTCAGACGTGTACTCAGAGAAAAGCTTTGACACACAGTTTAGAAGCGGACAGCAGTAATATGCCCCGCTCATCAAACAGCCAAGACACTTTTAATACAATTCGTTTTATAAAAGCGGCAGAACTAACATATTTAATTTTCGAAACTTTACACACACAAAAAAATCACTAGAAAGTAATAATTTGAAATGCGTGATTTCCGTGCTTTCGGTCGTAAAATATTTTGTACTTTAAACGTTCACAGCTTTCACATATGTCAGTCATATGTCAGTATGAAAAGTCGCTTAAGATAGGCCACTACAAACAAGTCATAATGATGAAACATAGTTACAACTTTATAATCTACTTAAACGAACTAACACGGAATTTGTGTAGGCAATTTGTCACCACGTTCTTTAGGACTATCACTGACTATAATTACTCAAACAACACTCGAATAAGCCTAAACTTTGACGAGGAATTGTATAAGATACCAACATGACCTGAACACACCGGTATTGTGATCCAAGCAATGCCGGCTGAAGCAACTAAAACACTACTATCAGCGTTTCTGTGCAGGCATTACAAGAACACTTAGCTCTACAGAGCACATCATTGATCTGCTAAACGCCCACAGTCATGCACATATAACGGGAAAAGTCTTCAATTTTATACAAACTCAATAAAGGAGAGGAAATATCCAGATGGGCGAGGAGAAAGTTCAATCAATGAGAGTGCTTTTTTTTCCCCTTTGTAAAGCCTTAATCTTCACTTATCGACCGCAGACACGTCATAACAAAACCGCAGAACCAATTTATTTGAAATGTTTTCATTGTTCTTCTTGGACGTTGATTTACTACTTCTGGTAAAAACGCTCCCAGGCCGCGTATTTCCTTACCCTGTTCACCCTGGTCCATTCACGATGACCAGTGAAATATTACGGAAGCAGACGTCATTGCCTCAGTTTGTACTATCCTGTTTGATAATTTTAACATGTCTTCTCAACAACCCTTGATGACCGAACACGAAGAGCCAAATGTGTCTTGTTCTGTAATCACATTTCATCTGTAGAACGCGCCTCGTTACGTTCGAACCTACCCAGTTCACGCAATGTCACATGTTCTAAAAATCTGGAAGCCGTGTATGGCGGGATATGAGAACAGGTGCATGACTTGAACCTGTCTTCGCATTCTGCTATATTTCGTAATTTGGCCCCCATGTAAATAATCCTAGGGAGGTAATTAAAACTTAAACAACTTAAACACGGTAATAATTTAGTGATATTTGCATTACTTTACAATTTCGTTATCACAACCGTGTTATCATAGTGAATCAATAGTAAGCCTGCATATCACCATTAATGTTTTAAATTAACGATTAGTTTTAACCAATGAAATATAAGAGCCTTCACAAACTGCTGTGTTAAACAGACAGCTGTTAAAATATTTCTTTCCATCCATGTACCGAGCTGAAGTCAACACTGACGTTTCAAGTTTCCAGCGGATTTGAAGCAAAGAATAATGATAAAACCTGATATTAGAATATACGTCAAAAATATGAAATAAATATAAAAATTACGCAGGATACGTTACAGATCTCGGAAAATTCTGAGTCTGAAATCCTGCCTTTGTTTAACAAAACAGAAAGCAACTAATGAATAATACAACTCTTTCAATAAACTGCTTAACCTGCTACAAATAAGCTTAAGCCTGTGAACTTCATTGGTCTAACCTCTTTAATAACTAAGTTAATGACACATAGTGAATGGAATATTCTTCGACCATTAAATAGGATGCGATATTTTTTAGTATTCTTGAAACTCAGTATTTTTGGATATTCGTACATTATATTCGGGGAATCAATTCGACTTTCTTGATTCCCCAGAGATCTGTACAGCATGGTCATTAATCTGACACTAATATTTTCCCCTCCTTTCCCCCAACTTCCTCATCACAAACCCTCCTCCTTCCACACTGCTGCTTCGCCCGCCTCTTGCCAACTTAAAATTGTTTCAGAAGCAATTTCAACCCCACCCCCGACCCCTCTCATGCATTGCTCGACAACATATAAAGAGAAAATAATAAACTAAGCTTATAAATATGAAGAATACGCTTCATTTCGGGTTTTAAATAAAGAATCATATTAATTAGGCCTACGAATAACCTGTCAGACGTTAATGTGTATTAACTCCATGCTCCAGAGACCGCATAAATCTAAAATATGTTAAGAAAATCATACTTCGTCTTCTTAGAAGTATAATCTAACGAATTTCTGATCAAAGATAAAATCAGAGGGTTACTTCAAAATTCTGGTAGTTCCACAGATTCTGACTGGAACAATTATTACGATAGGAAACTATATTATTACACTGGATAATAGAGTCCACAGGCCACTGGTATCCTATCCACAAATGCGTGGTTTAAAGTATTACACGCACATTCTGTTACTTAAACCAAAAAAATCAAAGTATACTTATAATTTCAATAAATCTCTCTCTCTCTCGCAAGCTTTTAATGTGAAAATTTGGATTATAAGAAACACGTGGTCTTGAGTGAAGTAAAGACCTTCCACATTTTAATTCAATAAAATTGGAACGCATATTAAATGAATTAGTAACCTGAAATAAACCAGAAATTAAAGATACATCAATCGTCTGCATGTATCTTATAGAAACGGAACTTATGACGGAGTAGACATTCATAATTAAAATTGCAATTTACGTAGCACGACAGCCATAATCAAATAAACAATCGGTGAAATATGAAAATGTTTAACAATAATTATACGCCGGTAACAAGAAAGCAGTCATGAAACTCACCGTTAAATGCTGGAACAACCACGCTCTCAGGATGTTGGTGGCCACTTTAGGAAATATGCCGCGTTTCTTCTGATTTTTCTTTCCGTTTGTATCATCATCTTCCTCCCCCGTGCCCTCGCCACTACCGATACTAGCGTTGCTCGCGTCACCTACAACAAAATGATACAATCAAGCAAATAATATCGACAAAAGCACACATTATCACTGACTACAGAAACACATACAAAGTTGTGATCGAAAAACCTGAATGGCAGATTTATGGTCTGGACTGGATTAATATGGTTTACGACTTGAACCAGTTAAACGCTCCTGTTAACAAGGTATAAACCTTCATGTTCCATAAAATACGGAGAAGTTCTTGACTAACTGTGCGACTATTAGCTTCTCAACAAGGGTCCTGTTTCACGAAGTTTATTAGTTAATAGCATAAGGTAATAGGTCTCCAGAGTTTAACTGTAGAAAACAGTTTACGATCAAACATTATCCCATTAACGAAACAGAAGACAATCGTGTCTGCTGCGAATTTCATTGGAAGAGAGATTACATCTTCATTACAAAATAGCCGAAAACAGACTTTGGCTCGGAGGTAAAAAATCAGTGAGACGGCATGTCGTCGCGAGGTAACGAGTTGAGGAATTAAAAAAATCATTATGTACCCCATTTTACATAGTTCTGTTGGAAGCTCTGTGGAATGGGAAACCACAATTACGAGAGAAGAGCGCGACACTGGGAATCGAATCCCAAAGCTGTCGATTACAGTGACCGTGACGTGACGATGTACTTGAACACAGTAGAATGTTCTGTGCGGCGTTTAAGTGAATTAGACGTGTCAGCAGCTAGCGTGTGTCCCAGCACGAACAGGGACACATGTTTTCGTGGTCTCTAATCGGGAGTTGTCAGCTCCTTCGAACGGACCGACACGTTTCAACGCGATTTTTCCACCGACGTTTCTGTATGCTGATTTGGAAGCCCATTACTATTAGACGAGCTTCTGTGTACCAAATAACAGTCCCCCCCTTCAACGTTCTAGCAAGGATCAATAGTGAAAATAGGTACAAAATGCTCGAGCATTATTTATATTTCAATGATAGTAAACGCAAAAAACTGAGACGGATTACGGGCAGAAGCGTCGAGCCAATGCTCTGTGCTGAATCAGTCGTTTACCTGGTATAGGCCCAAACGCAAACAGCCGACGAGCGCATTTGTAAGCCGCAAAAGAATTTTACTTTCCACGCCAATTTAATATTAGCCTACCTCACATCAGAACTGTCATATAATATTTTACTTCGTCGACAAGTTTCAATGGGTCTAATCTCCATTAATTGCAGGGCCAACTCATACGCAACACTCCCCCCCCCCACTTACACATACATGCACGCACCCCCCTATACACAAAAGTACTTTTTATTTTTCACACCTGTGTACTTGATGGTGTGTGTAGCCATATATAACAATAATCAGTGAAGTTATTCCATAACATCCTAATGGTAAATCATTATCACTGTTTTCCACAATAATCAACGATCAGTAGCTATGGTAGTAGATACAGCATGGTTGAATCTATTGGCCACCTTCGAAACTGTCAGATATTTCCTAATTTATGTTTAAAATGATATGTGTGCTAACATTCAATAACGTTTGTTGTGTTAAAATAATTTATTGCGTACACTGTCTATTCTACCACAAATAGGCCGACGTACGAATCATATGAACTCTTTAACGATATTCCATTTCAATTTCCATTATGACTACTTGTTTGTAACCAAGTGGCCTATCCGATCTGCCCACGTAGGTCCAGAATCAGACTCCTCGATTTCATCAATCGAAGTCTACGCATGTGCAGTTCTCAGAATCCTAATAGGTTCCAATACTTAATAAATGTAAATTGAATAAGAATAGTTATTTTTAGCCATTCGGCCTATGTAAGATTGTTAATCACAGAAGAACAACTTCTTAAGACTGTTTATACTTTATATTTTACACGGTGGATGCTTTGTTAAATAAAATGCATAAAAGCCAAGCCGACTGAACTAAAAGCGTTTCCGTACTGCGCAAATCAGCATCATCAACTGTGATTGGCACATTTCATACTGCAAGTGACAGAGCTTGATCAACGACACACCCTCCACTCACCTCCAGATCTGTTTTGTTTTCCCAACCCCAACTCCAGGAGACACGACGCCTTCACCCCGCCGTCGCCAACACTATTCCTACCCCTCATTACGTAAAGCAAGAGGAGTAATTTCACTATGCAATCCTGCGGGTGGCCTAATGGCTCTCAATGTGTGTTTGTATGCATAGGAAATAGGGGTTCGGTAGCATGGCAAGGGGTTGGGGAAAATGACTCACATAACACACACAGACATACACATATACGCTCCAAAAAAGGATAACAGTCACAGAGTTAGGGGTGTGGGTGTGGGTGGGGGGCAGACTAAAGGGGGAAGATGCAAAATAGGATTAAGGGAAGCTACTATGACCTGGTATAGAATTGCATAGTGTTTGGAAGGGGTGACGGTTGAAAAGCCAATGATCCAACAAGGCTGGGGACAATTTCTTCTTATTCCTTGTAAAGTGTATGGCCAGAGATCACGCCGTTTCTTTATAATGCCCATTTAGGGTCGAATAAAACTGTGTTAGACTGCTACCACACTGCACACCATCAGGTGTGTTAAAAAATGCAGACCTTTAGGTCCCATACGGTGAGGCTATCAGCAGTGTTTCTCCAGTCCAAATACAAATAAATACGCCCCTAACAACTTATTGAATTATAACTTAACTCTTTATTTCATTAGTTTGTATATGTTTATAAAATGAAACAGCACGCTTAATTTTCTACCAACACTGTTTATTTGCCCCTCAATCAGCAGCATTTAAATTATTAAGTATATCACAAATTGATGTCAAAATCACAGTGATGTACAAAAGTAAAACCTTGCATTTGTTTAAATATGTTATTGTATCCTGCAATATTATGATCCCTGAAATTTGTCTGTGGCCCAAATAAAGAAACAGACCATTGATTTCGACAAGTTTAGAATATTCCGATTCACATAAAAAGAAATAAAGTTGATATTTTGGGAATTAAAAGCATTAGTATAGTAATTTTGACTGTGTCACATGTGAGGCAACACGGCACACATAATTTACACTAAATTTTATAATCATGCAGGGATCAAAGGCAAAGGTTACACAAACACATCTCGTGTAACTTTTCGACCATATTCAGAAAGACAAACATCTCCACTGAAAAGTAACGAATGTACTATCTATGTGCTAACACGTAACAAAAATTCTCCATATTTACTTTCAAAAGAAACAAGGTGTTGGCCGATTTGAGTGTGTCTTTGACCTTATATTAAAACAAACAAATATTTTAAGGGTGGGGCACCATCTTAACGGACACAAGTACCACGCTTATTTATTACGTGGAATAATAGTCTAGGCTATAATGCACAAGTCCTTTCTTTATTTGTTTATTCTTTTGTTTATTTATATATTTCTCCCACTGAGGAGGACTACTAACGTCAGCTGTGAAATGACCAGCAGCAATGTCAGTTCCTGACAGACATCG